TAATGCATACTAAAAGCTGTTATACATGAAATTAATAAAGTTAAATGTAAAAGCATATAAATATATTAAATAATTAAATATCCAATAATGCATCGTCACATTTAACAGAATATACATATATATGTATTATTTCATTAGATATTAACAACTGATATTAAAAATTGATTATATTATTCCATCTGAGATATAAAGCAGTTTTCTCAGATAGCTGACGTGATCATGTTGACGTTTACTGTTTATGTAATGTCACCTCATTGCTTGAGTTTAATGCGTACTAATTCAGTGTAATGTGAGTGACCGAAATTAAATTATTAATTTAATTTAAACTCAGCATCGCATTGGTCTGCCGATTTTAAAACGCGTGCATTAAAACTTTTAGAGTGAAATGTCATTCTAAAAAATGAAATGTCACTCTTAATAAAGATCCCGGTAAAAAATTTTTCATGCATGAATGTGTATAAACATACATAAATATTTATAAACATCTATATAATTAATATATGAAATATGTCCATATATATCCCTCTTTCTTTTGTAAAATTACTTTTTAATTTAATAAAAATTATAATAGTAATATGAAAACATGAAAATTAATTAAAAGGATAATTTTCACTATTTGTTTTAGAAAAGTTTGAAGAAAGGTAAAAAAATTACTATAAAATTATGCACAATTGTGTATGAGCAATTTTTTTATGTTTTTTCCTAAATTTGTTTTTTTCTGAAACGAATAATGTGAAAATTATCCCTTTAATTATTTTTTCACATTACTGTTATTATTTCTATGACACTAAAAAGTAATTTTACAAGAACAAAGAACGTTGTATGAACATATTTCATATATATGATTATACATGTTTATAAATATTTATGTATCTTTATACATATTTATACATAGTCATGCATGAAAAACTTTTTTCCGAGGATTTTGAAATTTGAGGCACTCCTTTTCACAACTGGCTCAATTTTCTCTCTTTAAAGTGAGATTCCACTTCAAAGAATTTAAAGAATAGTGAAATATATATAAATGGCAACTGCTTTTAATCCCGCGTGAAGTATAAAAGCTTCGTCCCTTCCTTCTTTCTTTTTTTTTTTTACCAAGTTGCAGAGTTGCGTCAATACCGCGATGATGCATAATAGAAAATCGTCAGAGAGACCGCAATCTTTTTTTTTCTTCATCGACCTCCGCAACGCGAGCTCCCATTCTTTCAAAATGGTACGATCGCGTGCGCGAGGTCGCGAAGAAGAGAGCGTAGGTAGAGCACAACGCTCCCGTTTCTGCACAATCTCCTTCATATATCGCTTTTCAATATCGGGATACTTCCGCGATGCGCCATCGAAACTTGGTTCAAAGCTCTGGTACAATCGAGTCCGTTGAATTACTGGCTTGCACACTAATTGGACGAACCGACTCAAAGAACGAAGAGTGCCTTCCATTTAGTAACACAAATCGACACAGGTATTGTTCTGTGTTTGTTACTCTTAGAATGCAAAGAAAAATATAACGACATTTGTGTCGACTTAATTGTCATTATAAATGGAAAGCATTCCAAGAGAAAGTGAAAATGACTCTATTTTGATGACATAAAAATCAAACTAACTGATTTTTTGTTTACACAAATTTTACTATTTATTGCCGTTAAGAATAAAAATAATTTTGATTTTTTGTTAACTTTTGTTGGAAATAAAAACTATTCGCCAAAACGTTCGTTGAAAAGCGAAAGTATCAAATAATTTTGAACAATTATGTGCCATAATTTTTCTTTATAGAAAAAAAATCTGCATCCAAGGAATATCATCAACCGGAGGCTGTACGAAGGCCGAAGCCTCTTTTGACGCGATCGATAAGATCTGGAGAACGTTGAAATCTTTGGGATTAATTGCGAAGAGAACCCTACGTATATATGTCTGTTCAATCCTTCGAATTATCTCCCGATGCCGCGTCTCGATCGGCGAACGCGTGCATGGAATTCGATACACTTCGAGATTCACGTACGTGAATCCTATGTAGTTCCGACAGAGATTTCTCGCGAAGATGAATCTCATCTCTGGCATAACACGAGCAGCAAGGTAGATTAAATGTACGAATTGCTAAGGGATAAGATCATCTACTAAAATAATATCAGCAACTGCATGTATACAAGATCTCACTCTTCCTTGAAGAGTGATGCTCCAGATGGAAATTATATATAATTATATCAGAAGGACGTCATCTAAAAATGACAGGTAAAGTCATGATGATATCCTGATGATATGATTATGATTCTGCAATGTTCTACACATCGAGAGATAATTTACTGAAGTACCTAAAAATTTAGATACAGATCTGAAAATAATTTGGATCAAAATTATTATGGAAAATTATTAGGAAATTCAAGCACAATGAGCAATGTTACAAAAAGCTTTAACATTCTAGCAATCAGCTTCAGAATCCTATATGTGTAATTATAATATTTTGATGAGTGACTAAATTATTTTTAGATCTGTATTTAGCTAAATTTTCAGATATTTTCAGAGCAAAAGCATTCTTTCCCTGTAGGATTCCAGCTAGCTTAATAAGATTTTTCTCTTTCTCCTCACTTTTTCTTTTTTTGAGCATCCTGCACAGAAGGAATAATTTTGCTGAAATATCTAAAAATTTAGATATAGATCTGAAAATAATTTTATTGGACCATCAAAAATATATAGAAAACTCAAGCATGATGAGCAATGTTGCAAAAAGTTTCAACATTCTAGCAATTACCAGCATCCTACAATATATGTACCTAATTATTATAGATAATCTAACAAAATTATTTTCAGATCTGTATCTATAAGCTAAATTTTTTAATACTTCAGCAAAAAAGTCTTCCGTTCTTATACCTGAGTACCTAAGTGTTTTGATACAGAGTCATTATATCCTATTATCAAGCTCGTAGCTCATGACCGCTCTTTATTTTTTGTCTCGACCGTACCTCTGCATCCGCGCACTTGCTGAATACATTAAATTTATTAAACTCGAGAATATAAATTTATTAAAAATCTATTAAACTCGAGAATTGGAACATACGAATTATCACGTTTCCTCCCATTTCCTCTTTGAGTGCACCGTTCTCACGTAACTTCGAAGCGTAATGATTTTGCAGCTACGATTTCTCAATATGGATCCGAAGTTCGGTCGCTTCATCTCCCTGGGAATCTAGACAAGCGCGTACGCTATCTTTCTCTCCATTACGAGGCGAGTGGGAATTCTGCAGGATGCCTATTGGAATACTATCATCGTTTCGTCTACAGACTACGACGAAGCGTGAGTACGGTGACCCAGAGATGGATCGTTAACCGGCGAGTTACGTGTCGATCAGTAATACCTTGACGATTTCAAATACTTTAGTTTATGTGCGCAGTTCTATTTTATAGTTCTATTTTATAGAATTGTTTATAACATAGAATCGTGTTAGGATCGCGCAATTATATCATATGCGTAATATTCTCGTGCGATCGCGAGCTTCGATCTCGCGGATTAGTTCTTTTACAACTCGTCTTACGTAACTATCGAATCTTCAGCTAACTGATTCCGAATCGGATCTGATTCTCAGTCATATATAATTCCCGAATATTCATCTTCTGATGGTCTAAATAAAAAGATGCGCAATTTCTTGATGAGATAATAGCTTTCATTAATAACTGTTGCTGTAACTGGCGAGAAAGATAAACTTTCCGTCATACGTGGGCATGTTAGAACCCACGTTCCGCGCAGGAGATCATCCCGGGTTGTCCGCAAGGCACCCGCAATACTTATTAGCAACACCCAGTTCCCGAGCGCACACATGAATACTGTACTATGTACTATGTACAATCCTTGTATCAGTCGATGCGCTTCGGAGATGCTGTCAACGTATGATTGTGCAACGAGCCCGTCGCAATGGCGATGGTGATGACGACTCCGCGGGTATAATTCCTGCATTGAAAGAGCCGATATAATTACAAGGGAGAAACGCGCGGCGAGTGCATACCAGCAGCGTCATCGGCTCAGCTTTTTCACGTTTTCCCATCGCTTTCCTCCTTAGGATGTGCACTGAGGAATACTTTCTTGATGAAAAAATTTCGCTGAAATTATTCCATGTTTTCGAACATTTCAGCGAAATTGCTGAGAATTTACTGAAATTTCACTAAAAGTGAATTTTTTAGCTTACATACTGAAAAATCATTGACACTAAACTGAAATTACTTTGAAATTTCTCTGAAATTTTGTTGAAATTTCCACATAGCACAAAATTTGCAGCAATATCGCTGCAAAATCTCTGTAATATTGCTGCAACTTTTGTGCAACTTTATGCTGTAAGGGATTTTTCTCTGAAATATTACTGCGAAATGTTCCAAAACATGGAATAATTTCAGCGAAATTTTTCTACAGGATTTCATTTCATAATAAGAAATTTCATAATTCATTTAATAATAAGAAATTTTGAGAGATTTAATGACCATGTAATATATACTTTACTCAAATATTAAGTTGTTTTAAATAGCGCTCTTTAATCTACATGATATATCATTTAGATAGTTTGCTTTACTTTTACAGCTCATTGCCTCAACCCTATCGCTTCGCTTTCATGCCAATCCCATTGGTCGACCTTCAGATCCATTCGGAGATGCCTGTCGATCTGTATCAACCTGGCATTATGCAATCACCCCTCATTTTAGCTCGATGAGATTCATCTCGACGCCCGACGGTTGCCTCCTCCGCCACTGCCACCCCCTCCGATGGTCCTCCCACCGTGCGTGTCTTCATCCAGCACTCTATCTCTTCTTTTCTCTTCTTCTCCTCTCGGCGTCTCTAGTCAACGAGGATTCGTTGGCGAATCTTCAAGGAACGCATCACCGGATTATATCCAGCCGTGGTGCCATCCCCGATTGCTTGGTGAAGGGTGGGAGGAAGACGATCCTCGCGCGGAACCAGTATATAAGCATGCTGAATCCAACCTGAATATGTGCAGATCAATTATCATAGTCGGTTTGGCGATACACAATTTCAACAGTGTGATTCAATAATATCTATTATCGATCGACGACGCGCAACCAACGAGATGAGATCGGTACGAGTCGCGCAATGGAAATCTCTTTAATTCGATTGTTGAAATTTGAAATAAGTCTCGGGTCTTCTAGTCGACTTAGTTAATTGCGACAATTAATTGAAAAATAGAATCTATTAATTGCACACGAAATTTTATGGATGGTTCAACTAGCAGTACTGTACGATTTCCGTTTACCGTGTAGAATATCGTGTGTTTGAAAAAATATGAAATCTATAAATATCTGTGTTTTTGCTCGATTGCTTTGTACTATTTTATTTCTTTATATTGTACAATTTTTTTTATTCCTTTCGGCTTATTTCAACAGCTCTCCATAGCATTGCTGGCCATCATTGGTATGTGCTATGCCGCAAGATTAGACACCACTTATCTTCCGCCCAGTAGTGCCGGAAGTGCAGGTGGACCAGGATTGATTCATCCTCCATCAGGACACGGTGGAGGTGGACCTATTAAACTTAGTGGCCCGGGTGGTTCAGGTGGTCCTGGTGGTCCAAGTAGTTTTGGTGGTCCAAGTAGTTTTGGTGGTCCAAGTGGTTATGGTGGTTCTAGTGGTCCTAGTGGTCATGGTAGGCCGGGCGGATTTGGTCCTGGGAGTGGTGGCGGCGCTTATGCAGGTGGTAAGTTTGAACAAAAGTATAATTACTGAATAAGAGAAGAAAGTAATTATTTTGTCTTATATGCTATTCTTCATGGTTATTTATTTCTTTATTTGTATCTACCTGAATTTCAAGTTTTCATTACGATATTACATGAAGTTTAAGTTAAGATCTTTTTTTTAGAAATATTACGATTTTCCTTGAAAATAGTTAATTTTTTTAAATACAGCTTAGATATGTGACTTTTAATATTTTATTTCGTAAATTAGGCAGCGGACTAGGTAGTGGCCATGGTGGTGACCATGGTGGCGGCCATGGTGGCCAACAAATACCCATTATTTCTTATACTAGTGAGAATACTGGTGATGGAAACTATCAATATAGTTATGAAACTGGAAATGGTATTACCGTGCAAGAAACAGGTCATCGGCAAGGTACGAGATTGCGTTTTCGTATCCGATTAAATTTATTATTTCATTATTGAAGTGGCTGTATATCAGTCTTGAACGAGCGATAGCTAAACAATGCTTGCTTCGCATGGGAATCATGGAAGCATCGTGTTGCAACGCGATGTAGTCGATGATAATGAAGACATTGCGTCAAAACAAGTGCGTGCGATGTTGCAGGAGAATCCGAATCGGTGAGCGGATCCTTTTCTTATACTGGTTCCGATGGTATGCAATATTCGATCACGTATACGGCGGATGAATATGGTTTTCACCCTCAAGGCGCTCACTTGCCGACACCACCTCCGATTCCACCGGAAATTCAACGAGGTGTTGAATTAGCGCTCGCCGCCGAAGCTAGGGGAGAGAATCAGGATGGTGGTAGTGGTGGTGGAGGATATTCACACGGAGGATACAGCGGATATCCTAACGGAGGTTACATGATTTCAATTAAATATAAACAAACTTTTATAATTATGCATATTAATGTCTTAAGCATGACCTACTGTATATCAAATTATATCTCTTTTTATTAGGAGGTGGCCATAGCGGTCATGGAAGCAGTACCTATCAGGGACCAAGCTCATACCAGACAAGTTCAAGCAGTGGCTACCAATATTAGACAACAGATTGGCAAGGATCATTTATGCGCATACCGCATACAGGCATACCATTTTCCGTTTATCTATTTCATGTACATATCGATATATCATTCATGCAATTTTTTTATTTATATAAAGTGATATGATATACTATACTTATTTATACCCACTCTCTAATTTTTCTTTTCTTAAAGTTGCCTTTGTGTAGCAGCAATCCCTATTATTAAAGCACCTTATACATATACATGACACTATGCAATTGAGAAACTAAACAACTGCGATATATTGTGCATTATTCTTTATATGCGCTTATTTTACACACACACACACACACACACACACACACACACACACACACACACACACGTATGTGTGTGTATAAAATAATTATATATTTTGAGATGTATATTATAAATGAATAATGAATAAAGTGAATAAATAAACGGTGCATTAACACTGTGAAATATATATTGTGTATGTAAATCGTTTTACATATGTATATATAATAAAATAATAAATTAATATTGTAATCTAAATTCCTAATACTTTTGTTATTTATAAAAAAAATTCTATTTACATATGTATCATTGTAATAATTATTGCACTAATTTAAAAAAGTTGTAGTAATGATTAATTCAATGTGACATTATTAAATTAATATTAAATTATTTTAATTTAATTTAAATTAAATATATTAACATTATTAATATTAATAAATGTGATATTAAATTAGATATAATGTGTACTAATATAAGTATTACAATTTTTTGTTAAAATAAGATTATAATATAGTCAAACTTAACAACATATATAATTTAGAATGAAAATTAATTTTAAATCAATTTCTGTCTAGTTAGTACCTACATCTTAAATATATTTCTACGTATGCAAGATATAATAAAATATCCATTTTATACTGTTTCTGGATGACTAGTAGCACGAGTTGGAGATATATTAGACTCAATTATTTCAGCTCCTCTTGCAAACTGAATAAAAAGTTGTTCTAAAGTTGCAGATAGAACAGCGTAATCCTCGATGCAACTATATGTTTGCTTTAGATTCTTCATTGTATCATACATTTTTTCCCACATTGTATTATAATCAGTTACATGATAGGCAAGAAAACCCTGCAAAAATGAATAGAAATTAATAGTAAGATAAAAGAATAAAAAATTAAAGCAATCAATTGTCTTTTCAGCGAAGCACTATCATTACCAAATTTTCATCTCTAATGTCGCATGTTAAAGTAGATTCAATAATTTTCTTTATATTATTAACATCTTCGTCCGTTCGGCTTGGATTCAATTGTATATAAATATCGTAACCCGCTCCAAATCGCTGCTTCAATTCTTGACTTGCACCAATGCAAACTAATTCACCCTTCACCATAATGACTAGTCGATTACAAAGTGCTTCACACTCTTCCATACTGTTGAACAATATTAAAATTTTAATTATAATATTCCGTTTAACAAAATGAATTATATTAAAATTTAAATTCAAATATTTTATTCCAAATTTTTGGACTCTGATACCTGTGAGACGTAAGTATAATAGCCTGTCCTGCTGCCTGACATGATTGTAAAGTATTCCAAAGTGATCTTCTAGCTGCAGGATCGACGCCAGTTGTGGGCTCATCCAAAAGAACAAGAGTAGGATTACCAATGAGAGCTATCGCGATGTTTAAGCGTCTCTTATTACCACCGCTGTAAGTACCACTTGGCTGCTTCATACAAGCAGTTAAATCTGAAATAACATATTATTTATATTTATTACACGTATTTTTTTACATGTATTTTTTTTTAAATTCTGCATCTATTATCGCAGTTCACTTACTCAGTCTATTAATCCATTTATTAACTTCCAACTCTATGTTGGCCTTTGGTATACCGCGAAGACGAGCAAATAATCGTAAATGATCAAAAGCGTTTAAGGAAGGTATTAAAGCATCAGTTTGTGGACAGTATCCCATTTCAGAAAGATACTACAACAAAAAATAATTCTCTAATATTATAAACGATACAACACTAAAGAAATTAAATTACTGTATAAGTTATTACCTTTGTCCTCTGTGAATGGATTTCTGCTTGTTTTAAGTACATTATGCCACTATTAGACATTTCTTCTCCAGTTAGCATCCTAAAAGTTGTACTCTTTCCGGCGCCATTTACACCGAGCAATCCAAAACATTCCCGTGGTTTCACTCGAAAACTGATTTCTTTCACGGCCATTAACTTTCCATAGTATTTACTTAATTCATACACCAAGAAAAGACTATTATCATCATTTATCGGACTTTGTAATGATTCTAAATTAGTAGTCTCTGTAGCACCTAATTTTAATTCTTCTTTCGTATTTACACCTGTACATAAAGTCATATATACATATTTTATATAAATTATAACATTCATAAATTAAATTCAATATTACAAAAACAATAGACAATTAAGAGTTAGTACACAGTTATTAATAACATATATATTACAATTCTTTTTTATTCTTCATTTGCACATATATTTCCGACGTTTCAGCTGCTTTTTTCAACCATCTTCATAGTGTAACATTAGGCTTAATAATACAAAATTTAAATGCAATTGTTCTGAATGTAGGCACAATTAGTCAACCCAGAGTAATTCTTCATTTGATCACGTGAACGACTCTTTTTAAGTCAAGATTTGTAAGATCTAAATACAGAATCCCATTCTATATTAACAAAATTGTTTTCTATATTCATTCCATTAAAAAAATTCACCGGTTGTACTAATAACTTGCTCCATTCTGTTACACACAACTAAGAATACAAATTATATAAAATTTGTCGATTAGACGTGTGTCTTCATCCGTTTCTACGTTCGTGTTTACGTAACGTTTAAAATTATAAATTAATATGTAGGTCAATATAACATTAAAATAAAATAAATACAAAAATAAAGTCAGTTTGACAAACATACCAATAATCTTATGAACAAAATATATAACATCTTTTTAAAAAACATAATACTAATTATTAACTGATCAAGAATTGATATGTACCCATGGTGAAAAAATTCGGTATCCGTTTGTAAATTGAGCACATTCGTTTGCAATTTTATATTATCATTTCAGATACTAATCTCTTCCCAAGATATTTCTCTCTATTTCTCATTTTGACATTCTCCCAATCTATCGCATGATTATGCTGCAACTCATGTTCAGTTATGACAGATTTAATGTCAAAAAAAGTGTTATAATGAATACTGTAGTTACAGCAATACTTCTTTCACATCCTAGATATCACATTATAAAAATCTTTCTTTCATAATTGACATTTTTTTGAATAATGATTATCCTTAAAATTTATTTTTGACGCAATAAACGAAAGAGTAAAAAAACTATTTATTAACCAAGTTGATAAGACAAGAGAAGATAATAACTCTGAAGATATTAATAAAACAATGATTCACTATTCCTTACATTTCCAATACTTCTGAAAACTTTATTAATATAGTCAAAGATTCAGATTTAAATTTAGCCTTTTTTGGCCTCAATAAATTGAGAAGCATGATCAAAGCTCAGAAAGATCTTTCATGAAGAATAGTAAAAATGTTGTATATAAAGTACCGTGCAAAGATTGTGATGCAACTTATGTTGGACAGACTAAAAGGAAATTAAACACAAGAATTAACAAACATAAAAGCCAATTACGCAAGAACAATGGCATAGATCTGTCATAGCTGAACATGGATTGCAGCATAATTATTGCAATAGATTGGGAGAATGTCAAAGTGATAGATAGAGAGAGATATCTTGGGAACAGATTAGTATCTGAAATGATACATATAAAATTGCAAATGAATGAGCTCAATTTACAAACGGATACCGAATTTTTTCATCATCGGTACACATCAATTCTTGATCAGTTTAATAATTAGCATGTTTTTTAAAAAGATGTTATATATTTTGTTCATAATATTATTGGTATGTTTGTCAAACTGACTTTATTTTTGTATTTATTTTATTTTAACTCAATATTATATTGATATACACATTAGTTTATAATTTTAAATGTTACGTAGACACGGACGAAGACACATTGTCTAATCGACAAATTTTATATAATTTGTATTCTTAATTGTGCATAACAGGATGGAAGTGCAAGTTATTAATACAATCGGTGAATTTTTTAAATGGAATAAATAGAAAGCAATTTTATTAATATAGAATAGGATTTTGTATTTAGATCTTACAAATCTTGACTTACAAATCTTGTTAAGAAGAGCCATTCATATAATCAAATGGAGAATTATTCTAGATTGACTAATTGCGTGAGAATTACATTCAGAACAATTGCATTTAAATTTTGGATTATTAAGCCTTCATGTTATCATGAAGAAAGCAACTAAAACATCGAAAATATAAGTACAGATGAAGAATAAAGAAGAATTGTAATGTAAATACATTAATAATAACTGTGTACTCTTAGTTGCCTATTGTTTTTGTAATATTGTTTTTAATATTGAGAACTCGATTAATTTATACTGATATAAATTAAATTATCTGTGAATCTATAATTTTTATATCTCATTTCTTAGAAGATATTAAAAATTATCTTACTTTGGTTGTTGATTTTATTAATTTCTACCGCTACAGCAAGTTTCTCTTTTTTCACTTGATCATCCATTGTATTTTGCTCCTTTCTCAGTTTTGTACCAATCATCTTTGTGAGTAATTTCAACAACAACTTTTCTTCCAAGATGATTAATAAAGCAAAATACAAAATTGGTGTTATAGCTAGATATACTATACTTTCTTCAAAATTCATATCATCTTCAAAATTTTTGAAGTAAGATAGTTGATTTTTGCACACTCCATCTTTGCAATCCAAACCTAAAAAAAATTATAATGAAATAAATCATAAATTTTATCATTAATAGCAATACATAAAACATAAAATTATAATATTTTAAGTGAATATTATACAATCTTACCACAACAAGGATCCTTTGCAAGACAAACTACACCGTGAAGTATATTTGGTAGACGACGACATCTTGCATTCTGTACTGCTATGTTGAAAAAAGATAGTTGACCATGAAACAAACTTACGTACGGAATCAGACGGAAGATTCTCTTTTGTAGAATGTGTAGCGGATTAAGCCAATCAAAATTGCCTAGTACTTGATGTAGAACATATTGTATTATAACTGAAATAAAATTTAAAATCGAGTTTATTTGTTTTTAATAGACTTTATAGTAATGTCTTTGCATTTTTAATAGAACAATTAGTTTCATACTTAATATACCTGTTGAAATTTTTAATATCTTATACTACAGCAAACTTACCAAGGCTAATAGGTGCAACACCTAAAATAGTTATTATAGTACTTCTTGATTTATTCATAAAACTGAATAAATATACAAGAAATAAAATGTTAATACCAAATAATTCCAGAGTCAATATCAAGTATACTGCAAAAAAAGCAAATAAATATACAAAGAAATAAAATATATATTATATTAATTAATATTGGACACAATTTAGAATAAGAACTTACATATCTCTACTTTATAATATAGACGAATATCAAGAATAACATCCATGATGTAGAACGCTAAAGTAATTAGCAATACACCTATTGTAAATATCAGAAAATCGATAGCGAACATTGTACTCCAGTATGATAGAGAAGTGACACCGGTCATACGCTGGAGTTGCTTAACTTTCGTCGCTGTTTCTTGCAAAGGATGCATTACGAAAAGTGACATAGTGGGAAAGAAAAACATACAGAATAGCAAAACACGCGACATCGAGTCTGCTTCGGGCAATTGTATTTGAGATGAAAATATCGTATTCGGTAATTGTTGTCTAGACGCAATAATCGAATATTCATCGCCAGCTAAAGCTTTAATGAGCGAATTACTTAAAAGATTCACTGTTAACGGCACGCTGTGAAGTGCTATGCCGGAATAAAAACCGTTAGCCCATATGTTATTTTCAGTGTCATTAAATTCAGCAGATACGATAAGATTGTTTCGGTATTCCACAAGATTCTTCATAGAAGAATTCAGAAGAGCTAAAAGAAATAATATATAAAAACTATCATTCAGACAAATGTATTATCATGCTTAATATAAAATTACATAATAATACACTTACCGCTTGTAACATTTATATCTGACGCTACACGTTCTGCTTCACCGCCCACATTCTGAACGATATTTCTATATTTCTGAGCAATTGGTTCGTTGTTTGATGAATATAAAGCTTTGGGATATCTGTACATATCAAGTTTTAATGGAATAATATCCGTGGAATCGGTTGGTAAACTATAACTCAAGGCCATTAGAAACACCGAAAAAATGGGAAGAATTAGCTGAAAATATTAATGATGTTAATAAAAGAAAAACTTTTCAATTTCAAAATATTAAAAAATATAAAGAATATCATCGAAGATGTATCTGATCTTTGTATTAATGAAGCATATATCAAGGAGAGAAATACGTACAATCGTCAGCAAGACAGTTAAATTCTTTCTTATGTATGTAAATTTCTTGCAAAATAGTGCTGATATTGTTTGCATGCATAGTTCAGTGCCTGTAACTTTCTGTAATGGTGCTGTAAATAATTCATTAAGATGTTTTCCACTATCTTCACTTCTCACAATCCTACAACCAATAATAAAGTAAGAAAATAATAATAAAATAACAATATAAAACCTATTTTGACGAACATACTTTAAAAATACTTGTTCCAAAGTAATCAGTGACACGCTTATTCCAGTAACGCCTAATTTTTTCTTTTCGCTTTCTACTTTGTCCAATGATTGTGGCAAAGACTCAGTATATGGAACATTTAAAACGATCTTTTCACTATCAACACTAAGCTGTTGGGCTCTTGAGTCAAATTTACTTATGACTTTTTCGGGAACACACCAAGACTTTGTCGACAATGTAACTTCAATATGTCCATGACCTAAAACAGAAAAGTTAATTTGCAAAACAATTATTTAAATTAAGACAAATATCCCAATGACCGGACATGTACCTGTGTCCGGATGTTTACACAAAACATTATTTTTTTTTATATTATTAATCTCAAATGATTTTTAATATAATATTATAATTTAATCTTTAAATACAATTAAATCATAATATTGTAATAAAAGAAAACATTTGAGAAATAAACAACAATAAATTTTGTGTATATTTGTGTATATTCGGACGTAGAACAATGTTCAGTCACTATTTACTATATTTTGTTTAAATATCAATAAATATATTATCATACCATACTGTTTCTTCAAAAACATTGCAGTGCCATAACTTCTAAGACGACCAGCATGCATTATCGCGATTCTGTCACCAAGTATATCAGCCTCTTCCATATTATGTGTACTAATTAATATTGTTTTCTCTCCTCTAAGTTTCTATAAAACAATATTAATAATATAAAATATGTAACATAATGTAATATATATGTATGCACAACTTTTAAAATAATTAAATTTTTTTTTGCTTACTAATATGATATCCCATGTATCTCTTCTGGTTTCAGGATCCATTCCTGATGTTGGCTCATCCAAAATTATGATCTGAATACAAATTTATTTTATATAGATTGATATAATAATTATATAATGTATCATTCATTATATTACTATTTTAGAACTTACACTAGCATCGCCAATAAGAGCCATTCCGAGGCACAATCTTCTTTGTTGACCACCAGAAAGTTTGCTAGGTAGAAAATCTTTTTTTTCGGAAAGCTTTAACTTAGCAAGCAAATTAAGAACATCCTTTTTAATTTCGTTTTTGGTTTTATTTTTAGCTTTCAACTGTCATAACATAAAACAGCCATAACATAAAACATAATGCAAACAGACAATTAATATGTTATCGATTGCTATATGATTCCACAAAAATTATTATTATCCTCACCAAGCCAAAGAATTCTATTTGTTCAAATACATTTAAATCTGGAAAAACCATATTTTCTTGAGGACATAGCCCTAAATCATTTCTAATATTATTTAAGTGTTTTCTTATATTTTTGCCATTTATAAAGACTTTCCCTTCTGTTTCGCTGGTTACACCTATAAAAGATAAATATAGTAAGAGTACCTCCCATAAAATGACATTCTCATTAAGAATTATCTCACAATACAAAGTAATACCTGTTAATATAGACATAAGTGTAGTTTTGCCTGCTCCATTGTGTCCAAGCAAAGCAGTAATTTGTCCTTTGTAAAAGTCTACCGAAACTCCTTTTAGAGCATGGACTTTCTAAAATATAATAACGTGACATTATTCAAATACAATAAAAATATATAATTCCTTTCATATAAACTTACGGATTTTCGTAACCAGCTGGTGGTATAAGACTTTTTAAGATTACGTATTTGTATTCCAGGTGTAAGTGCATTACCAAATACTGGCTCAAAATCTTTATTAGTCTTATCGTAATCAAATTCAGTAGCTTCATCATCAAGAGCTACTTTGTTCTTTTTGATACACTAAAATATAACAGCATAAAAATTATATCCCATATACACACATAGCATTTTTTCAATATTAGATCTATGCATAAGTTCATCATTTTTAACAAATCGCGGTTTAGTCGACTTACAATCGACTGATCTATGCCAAGCATTTCTGGGAAATCTTGAATCACAGCTAGGTTTTCATCAAGATCATGCAGCTCTACATCGTCAGTTTCCTTGGCATGACATGGCCTCAGTCGAACGTTAATATTAGTATCAAAATCAGCATTCCGGAAGCATTTGTATGACTTTTTACACATCCTTATTGACACGTCCTCATCATACGTGTTGTACAAAATTCTTTTAGCTTCAGCTATCTTTTTTTTATTAAAAAACGGAAGCATGCAGCGAAAATGAAATTTGTCAGAATTCTAAAACGAAGACAAAACAATGACTGTACAAACAAAATTCACAAAAATTTCCTACGCACCAAGCAGATGCTGGACAAGTCACGTACATATTGCAAAAGAACGTATGCACAATTCTTTTTTAAGCAGATTATTAATACGCGAAATTAACCATATGAACTTATGCACAGATTTACTATTTATAATTCTTGCATAAACTTGCCTTCAAAAAATATAATGGATCCTTTCGGACTCCATATTTACCAGGAAGTACAGCATTTATATATACTGCAAGTGTAAAATGTATCACAGCACCCAAAATTGAAAAAAGAAATATAAAACCTGGACTTCCTACGATACCATATTCTGTTTCTCCAGGAACAAATAAATTATGCCACTGAATACCAATTACTAAAAGAAAAAAATAAAACAATACAATTCTTTAAAGTTTTTTAAATTACTATTAATGTAGAGAGTAGTTTAAATATAAATGATTTTCTTTATGTGAATCGCGAACGTATTTACACTGATTGTAACAAGTAAAAATATCTGTTTACTTTCTACATAATGGACTTGCAGCTGTTTCTGTAGTCGATGTTGCGATATCCGAACAAATAGTAGAGAGTATCATTGCATACTTGCGCCTTCTCCGGACTATCTATGTAGTTTATGTAAAATTTCGATGGCTTTAACAGTTTTGTTTGCAAGAAACTTGATTAACATATAAATAACGCGTTGTACAATGCATATTATTTGCTTGCATCGCAACAACTACTTTAGAACCAACTGCCATGGTACACAACTAGAGCGTGAACACACTCATCTGTTATTTAGTGTAAATACATCAATGTTGATTATTCACACAAAAAATTTTCATTCACTTTGAAGATTTGAACCATCCTTATAATTACATAAACACATTAACAATAATTGCTTACATTTGCTTTCATGAGCATTCGATTCTTGAAAAAGTCTATGAAGCATAATATTTGGAAATATTATACCAAGATATGGTATAACGCCAAAAACTTCTTGCCTTGCCATATTTTGATGAAATGATATTGCTGCCATATAAATGATAGCTAAGGCAAGTGTCACAAATCGTGCTGTAAAAGGATATTAAGATTATAATTTGTGCATTTCAGTAATTATTCATTTTACAGAAAGATATCTACGTTTTGAGAAATATGCTCCAATATGCATGCCAAATGTTATAAGATGAGCGATGTGTGCAGTAAATAAGAGCCAAAATATAAACGCATTTCCATATTCCAACAAGGCCTCAACATTATCAGAAAAAGTATTTTTAAATAATATGATTGTTGGTATTATATAAATAGTGCTCATTAATATTCCTGTAATTAACCAGCTAAGTAAATTATAGACCAATTTGACTCCATTCATTGCCATTAAAACCTAAAAATAATAAAACAAATAAATATTTTTTCGTGATTAAAAACGTACAAAAAATAAAGAAAGAATAATGTACTAACATTTATGCCAATAAATTTTTCTTTTGATGCATAGTTGGTCTCCACACAAAGTGTAATCAAAAAAATTATAACTCCAAGTGAAACAATTACCATACGAAATACTGTATCAGCCATATCAATTTTGACATATGGTGGATAAGGCATTCTTTGTATTGACATCTGAAAAACAACATCACAAAATGATTAAAAATATCCTATCATATCACAGCCATGTATTAGCCTGTTCCTGTATACATTCCTGTAAATATTCAAATTTGTAAAATATTTTAATAATAAATTATTAAAATATATTCTTTTTAACCTTATACCTTTATGTTAGAGCGTGGTGTTATTTGTTTTATAAATGCTTCATCCAAACAGATTTGAATTTGAATAAATGGCATCATATCGATATACATCGAAGTTGATGCACTAATACGTTCACCTTCTAATAAGCTTTGGTACAAAGAATTTGGAATCTTCCATGAGTGTCTCAGTTTATATTTTATGGTAGGTTGATCATATTGTTTAAAAATAACAGCCACTGCAGAAAGTATTGGATTTTGTGCCTGAGACCGTGTGTAAACATTTTCTACTTCAGTTTCATTGGCAAAACCATTCATATCTATATAAAAACAAAAAAGATGTTATTTTAATGTTATAAATTATTAAAAGACACTATTTATATTTCTCAATCTCTATTTTATACTTACTTTCAGGCAGGAGACGAAGACAATATCTAACAGATTCCATAATTTTATCTGTATATGCATTTTTTGGTACATAATACACTTTATGTAAAGAATTATCAATTTTTTCCATTAACTCATCTTGTGTATATAGAGGATAATGTGTACTGACGTTCACCACAACTGGAGGTTGAACGCTAAAATCTCTCACAGCTTGCAATAATGCAAACACTACAATAGGTACTAAAGCTTGTAAGAAAATCATCATACGCCAATGCCTTTTGCGTACTATCATATTTTTGTACATCAACAAGCCAAAAATTTTCCATCCACTAGCCATTTTTATATCTTGATGTATTTCAACTTTATGTTAATGTAGAAAAGGTTTAATAGTGGGCTGTATTCAAATATCTACAAATAGTATACACTACTTTGCCATTGAAAGTACACGAAGTCTCTTGAATAAATTATTGGAATTGACATATATGTTGGCTTCAACTTACAACATATATCTCATATATGAACTATACTGTGTTGGTCATTAAAATGTGAAAATCTATTTATAATGTAATAGCTTTGCAGTATCATATAAAGAAATGTAATTTATTGTTTCTTCTTTATATATTAAGTCCAGTTTCTGGAGTACTGTTGTCATAGCAAATTTTACCTAAACAATCATAACCAAGTTAGTTATGAGTCATAGTATGAGTCTCAAGTAAAAATGTAGAACATACATAATATTCAAAGTCATGATAT